GGGTTTTGATGTAGAAGGCAAAACACCAATGATGACTTCACTGTTATTATCATCTAATAGATAAATCAAATTAATTTCTTGCAATGCAATTAAATAACATTACAGTATGATGACAAATTCTAAAACTCTCTTATCTGACCCTTTACAAACGTATTAATGATACGCATGATATAAACGACTCTTAATTGTTTGTGTTTGACTTTTAAAGGGAATGTAAAGATTTTTATGCTAATGTTTGCTAACAAAATACAATTTCTTACCAAGTACTGCTGTAGAAGGAGTTTTGTCAATGTCGTCATAGTCGTTGTCACTCTTGGGAGATGGCAAAGATATCTTTTCGTAAGAAGCTGGAAATTAATGTATTACATTACACTGAAAATGCACATTGAATTCATGCTAAACATTGAACACGGCGAACAGGTTTTACGTGAATTTCAAAGGAGATTTATAGTATTTGTTAGTTAGCAAATTTGTCTCTTAATTAATCTGAATTCATGTGCATTTTCTACCTTGGTTCTTTTTTTTCTCCCGAAATTCTTGTAATCTTGTTGTCATTGAATCCTTTAAGAAATCACGTCCTTCTTCTTCGTATAATTGTATCAGATATTCCATAGCATTCTCTTGTTTTTCTACAAGAGATAAGTACAATAATTATTTCATGAAGCATTGGTGTGTAGCACAAGTTTTCTGTTTGTGTGCGGAAAGGTAGAGCAAGTGAGTTGTAAAAAAGTGAAGACACACGAAGGTGGAAAAAACTTTCGAAAACGTAGCTACGCTACCGTATTGTTTGTTACATGTAACATTGATTTGTTGAAAAACAAATTTTAAATGATCCCTTTACCTTTTTTATATCGTTCCGTCTTTTTTTCCATCAATTCTACATTTGAAACAAAAAAGAACAAATGAATGCGCGTCACTTTCGGTATTTCTGATTATCGGTAGGATCTTGTGCAGAATGAAAAACTAAAAACAATATTGTATATAAGAATAAACTCGAATATTTGAATTTTTTTTGGGTAAACAAGTTGAGAGAGAAGTACAAAATAAAACTTTAACATACCAATCGTATTTTAGTTGCGTAAATATAAAAAAAGTAATTTGTTTTCAATATAGTGATTATATTACATGTATGTACAGTGTCGAACAATATAATAACTTTTAGTTGCTTTGCCCTTGTTTAAACGTATTTACTAACGGGACACTGACAGTGTATAAAAAAATTTGAAAGAAGCCGAAAGGGTGCTTCAAAGGACGATGGCGACCAAAATTCCTTCGATTTCAATGTTTGGATTCCATGCACATCATGTATCTCTTTTATCAAATTTTTGCTCGATTTTGTAAGATTGACAGTCAACCCTAAATTTGATTAATTATTAAAACATGTTACATGCCGCATGATACCAAGTTTTCGCTCCGCAAAATTTATGTTTTTCAATTGGCCCGATGAACAAAACAATACAAATTAATGTGTTTTTAATTTAAATGAAGCAATAAATTACCAGTACTGTTGATTTTCGACTCATCTTGAGCAATATTCTCATCATCTTGGGCCAGATTTGCTGCTGCATCCTCATGGGTAATATGAACCTCATCTTGAGCAACCACAATGATAAACTTTACAACTTCTATAAAAGGAATTAAAATCATTCATTCAAATAATTTTTCAAATAGAATAAATCCATAAACCTGAATATAAAATAATAATTCCAAAGTTAAGACGTAGCTAAAAATTCGGCCACTGTATGAGTAAAAAAAAGTTATCCAAAGTGTTATTCACATCATAAGTTTCAGTGGCAAAGCCAGCCAAATCTTTTACTCCTATCTATGACTTTAGGTGTAGCTAATATCATAGCGCGTATTAAAAATCATAAATCAGTCATTAGTACAATAAATGGCTTTACCAACTTATGATGAGTCAAGCGTTAAGAACATAGTCGAAGAATAGTAAAAGAGTAGAAAATTTTTATCTAGACACGTTAGTTTTGCAAAAAGAATGTTGGTTATTTGAATGTTTTATTGAACCTTACCTTATTGAGGGGA